GTCTCACTTTGTCGCCAGGCTGGAGTGCTGTGGCACAATTTTGGCTCACTGCTACCTCCACCTCCTGGGTTCAAGCGATTCTCCTGCCTCAACCTCCTGAGTAGCTGGGATTACAGGCACCCACCACCATGCCGAGCTAATTTTTGTATTTTTAGTAGAGATGGGTTTCAGCGTCTTGGCCAGCCTGGTCTCAAACTCCTGACTTTGTGATCCACTTACCTCAGCCTCCCAAAGTGCTAGGATTACAGGTGTGAGCCACCACACCCAGCAGAAGCTTTTTAAAGTTTGTCACTTGCAGTCCTATAGGGTAGTGGGCAGCATGCTGGAAAAGATGACCTGTGGCAGTGATTGGGAGTCTGGGACCCAGGCTGCCTGAATGTTTTAGTCCTCTGCTTCCTTATCATTTGAGGTTTTGATTTCATCAGGTATCTCTATAAGGAGAAGGAAGGAAGTTGCTTTTAGTGACCATCATTTCCTTGTCTTAGTGTGACACTACTTCTCAATCACAAACACTGAAACTACGTTGGAGCATTTGTATGTGTTACTGTTGTAAGTGATACTGCTTACTCTGGCATTCTTGAAGTTATTCTCTGCAGAGTATCTGATGCAACAAATTTGTCTTTGCTTGGCAAAAGACAAGTGCTCTTTTTTTTTTGAGATGGAGTTTCACTCTTGTTGCCCAGGCTGGAGTGCAATGGCGCGATCTTGGCCCACCGCAACCTCCACTGCTCGGGTTCAAGCGATTCTCCTGCCCCAGGCTCCCGAGTAGCTGAGATTACAGGCATGCACCACCACGCCTGGCTGATTTTGTATTTTCAGTAGAGATTGGGTTTTTCCATGGTGGTCAGGCTGGTCTCAAGCTCCCGACCTCAGGTGATCCATCTGCCTCGGCCTCCCAAAGTGCTGGGATTACAGGCATGAGCCACTGCAACCCTGGATATCTCTTACTAGCTTTGGAGCTATCTCCCAGAAAGAGAATTACAGAAACATCCTCTCACCTGCTTGGCCCTTGAGACCAGACATATTTCTTTAGGAAGACAGGTGGCCTTTCTCCAACTTGCTATACTACACATCAGACTGTATTAGTCTGTTCTCATACTGTATTAAAGAAATACCTGCAACTAAAGAAAAGAGGTTTAATTGGCTCATGGTTCTGAAGGCCATACGGTTAGCATGGCTGTGGAGGCCTCAGGAGACTTTAAGTTGTGGCAGAAGAGGAAGCAGTCATGTCTTCACGTGGCCAGAGCAGGAGCGAGGCAAGGGGGAGGCGCTACACATTTTTAAACAACCAGATCTCATGAGAACTCACAGCAAGGAGGAAATCCACCTCCACTATCCAGTCACCTCCTACCAGTCCAGGTCCCTCCTCCAACAGTGGGGATTACAACTCAACGTGATATTTGTTGGGGACACAAATGCAAACCATATCAAGAACTATGAGCGGAGACAAGAATTAGGAAGTGACCACCGCAGAGATATGAGATCTGGAACCCCTTAGTCAGAGAGAAGAGAATCCACTCTACTCTAGTACCTGCCCAGATGTGGTGTTGAACACTTTGTCTGGGAGCAGGCCACTTGGAGCTTCAGAGGAGGGTAGGTGTGTATCCTTGGCCTCCCTCTTCCTCTTCTGGATTAAAAGCCAAGCCCGCTGGGTGTTGGGCTACTTGTGTTCATGGGTTTGGCACTGAGGGCCCATGGGGTGTGATGTAGCAAGGCAAACATTGAGCAGTGTGTGAAAAGGAAGTGTTGTGCAGTGAGTGCCCGTGGCTATAACGGAGAGTGGGATTGGCGGTGGTGTTGATGAGAAGGCGGTGATGTGCTCTTAGGCCCTTTATCCACAAAGGGCCTTGGCATAAACATGGAGAAGTGTTTCCAACCTGGCTTTTGTCTTGTACCTAGAGATTAGAGATAATAGAGGGGATGGAGTCTAAATATGTGTTTCATTCCATTTAATAGGCATTGTAGATTCAGATGGATTTGAGTTTTAATCTAGGCACCGCTACTTATTGGTTATTTAATTATAGACAAGTTATTTTTCTGAGTCTTGGATTCATCATCAGTGAACTGAATGTAAGGTTTTTGTTGGGATTAAATGAGGTAATATGGATAAAATGCCTAGCATGGCACCAAACATTCATTAGGTGCCCAAACCAAGTGTCGGTTTGTTTCCCCTTCATTTTCTATGCTTTTCCAGTTTGTTTACTCAACAGAATATTGAGCACTGCCTGTGCGACAGTCACTGTGTGGGGGGATCAGCTGGAGTAGAATGTGCTCCTTGCTCCGAGTCTGACCAGTTAGTTCATTATTGGAGCTAACGTTTTATGAGCATTGATGGTGGCATGCACAGAGGTGAGGCATCCTATTCAAACTCAGGAGTTGGGAAAGACTGCCTAGGTCATGTTTCAGCTGATTTTTTTAAGTTAGATGAAGAAGGAAGGGCTCCAGAGACCAGCACTTATAAGGGAATGATGATCTGAGGTAGTGTCATGCTCATGGGAATCAATAGTGGGGCTGTTTTTCCAGGGTAGCAGACTGAGTTTTCATTTCCATAGGCATTCACCTACCACTTTGGTATGTCTGTTGTGTTGCATTGGTGGGGCAAGATGTGGATTCCCGAAAAAGGATGAAATGAGGGGATTGTGAATATGTTGAGTGTATATAATACACATGCATGCATGCATGTAGTCTTGTAAAGTGATCGGCAGGATTTGACTTTTCCCTTCGTCTCTATGCTTCTGTACCATAAGTGCACGCTGTAACTGTTCCCAGCACGATATTTCTATAGTTTGGACTTGTGTGGTGGTCCATTTTCTGTCACCTCATTTTGAGATAACTGGCCTCAAAATCTAGTTTTAGCATTTATGCTGTTTTTAGCCCACTATCATTTTGAATATTGGCAGTGCTCCGTTGTGATTTTTTTTGTACTCTCCTTGAGAAAGAGTCCATGTAGGTCAGCCTTTGCAGGTAAAGAGGGCAACATCCCATGGCTTCTGCTGTGTGTTTGTTGGTTTTCATTTGGACAATGAATGTAGACAGGAATCTTAGGTCTTCCTTGGCCGTTACTCTGTTAATCAGAATACAAGATGCTCTCCCCATTTTTGTGTTTTAAATATAACTTAAGCAAAAAACAAAAACAAAACAAAAACAAAACAACAAAACCCCCTCTCCTAGGCTGGGTTCAGTGGTTCATGCTGTTCATGCTTATAATCCCAGTTTATTGGGAGGCTGAGATGGGAGGATCACTTGAGGCCGGGAGTCGAGACCAGCCTGGACAGCATAGTGAGATACCCCCACTCCCTATCTTAACAAAAAAATAAAATAATTAGCCTGGTGTGGTGGTACATGCCTGTAGTCCCAGCTACTTGGGAGGCCGAAGGGGGATTTGAGCTCAGGAGTCTAAGGCGCATGTGAGCCATGTTTGCACCACTGCATTCCATTTTGGGTAACAGAGCAAGACCCCATCTCAAAACAAAACAAAACCTCTCTGCTAATTCCTTCCCTCTAGCTACTCTGAAAACACTTGATGAGGATATCAGGATTCCATTCAGAATTATTCCAGACAAATGACTTTTTTTAAAAAAAATGAATGAGAGGTTCTTATGTCGCCCAGTCTGGCCTGGAATGCATAGCCTTGCCTCCTCAAGCGCCAGGACAGCTGGCCTGAGCCACCGCGGACAGGGCTCTGTCACTCAGGCTTGGAGTGCAGTGGTGCTGCTTCGGCTTGTCTACCTTCTGTGCTTAAAGGTTTCTCATGCCTCAGCTTCCCAAGTAGCTGGGACCACAGGCATGTACCGCCACCACACCTGGCTGATTTTTGTATTTTTTGTAGGGGTTTTGCCATGTTTCCCAGTCTGGTCTCAAACTCCTGAGCTCAAGTGATCTGCCCGCCTGGGCCTCCCAAAGTGCTGGGATTACAGGTGTAAGCCACTGCGCCTGGCCACGCATGACTACTTACAGTTTTTGTTATTCTCCCCCCGGATGCTGCCGTGAAAGTAGGCCCACCGTTCCCTACAGTTGTGAAAATTGGAGAATATTTTGTGAATTTGATTTAGAAAGTGAGAGACCATGCTGAGCAGACAGTTTGAGACCCAGAAGGCTGGCTTAGAGGTTTTGTATTAAAGGAAACGCTGATTGAGAAGACATAAGAGATAGGCTCCCCCTCCCTGAGATCAGCCCAAACTTAAGCCTGGGCCTTGGAGGAAAGAAAGCTTCTCTCTTCTTCTAACCTCTCTCTTCTGCTCCCTGAACTCTCCTGTCCCAGTATGGTTGCTGGAAATAAAGTCACTTTAAGTAAAAATAATGCTGGCATTGAGTTCAATTTTCTTTCTTCTTTTTCCCACCAGCACAGAGGATGGAATTTAAGTCTGTATAGTTAGCAAGAGATGAAATTGCTGTCTCAGCTCCAGAATAAACTCCAGGATCAGCAAGGGAATTCTGTTCTCCTGTCTGAACTTGTCCTACTTAATCATGAAAAGCAGAATAAATCAGAGGCAGCTGAGTTGATTTAGGGAGCCGCAGATGTAAAATGAGTTTTTCAGATCAGTTTTTTTTTTGTTTTTTGTTTTTTGGTTTTTTTTGAGATGGGGTCTCAATCTGTTGCCCAGGCTGGAGTACAGTGACACCGTCTTGGCTCACTGCAACCTCCGCCTCCCAGGCTCAAGTGATCCTCCTACCTCAGCCTCCTCAGTAGCTGGGATTACAGGTGGACGCCACCATGCCTAGCTAATTTATTTGTAGTGACAGAGTTTTACCGTGTTGGCCAGGTTGGTCTTGAACTCCTGGGCTCAAGCTGGGATTATAGGTATGAGCTGCCACACCTGGCCTCAGGTAATCTTTAATCTTTCAGAATTGATGGATGAAGAGGAAGATATTGACTGCTCTCTCTCACTTCAGATTTGCTTTAATCCTAGCCACACTGGTTTTGCGTGAGGGAAGGTAGCCCCTGTCATGGAAACCTGTGGGCAGTGAGACAGAAAGTTGTATCTTTTTTTTGGAGAAAGAGGAAAGCTTTCTAAGTGAGAGAGTGGGGGCTCATGAGCAGCCTCACAGTGGTAGTGGCACCTCAGTGTCTTAGTCCTTGATGAAGCCAGCTTTTATCACATGAGGGCAGTAGGAAGACCACTGAAAACTCCCTGGAAATCTAGTATTCTCCCAAGGCCCCAAATGACGACCAAGACTGGTTGCCCAAAAATGCTGACGTGGGACTGTACCGCTCCCCTGAGGACCACTGTGGCATGGTGTCTGTCCTCCTGGTGCTGTAACATTTCCTATCATTTTTCTCCCCTTCAGACTGACAGACTTCAGGATGCAGCTGCTACTGCTGGAGGTGTGTGGCACCTTACCTGGGCCAGGTCATGAGATCGTGTGGCCATGATGTGGGCCCCTCATGGCCTCAGCAGGAACGGAGCACTACAGCATTGGCCTCCGCCAGAGAAACAGCTTCAAGCAGAGTGGTCCCCCAGAGACAGTGCCTGCCGCGCCACCTGAGAAACCCTCTGAGGGCAAAGTCTGGTCTCAGGCCCATCAGCAAGTGAAGCCAATCTGGAAGCTGGAGAAGAAGCAGGTGGAGACACTGTCAGCAGGGTTGGGCCCAGGCCTCCTGGGCGTCCCCCCCAAGCCAGCATATTTCTTTTGCCCCAGCACTTTATGTAGCTCTGGGACCACAGCTGTCATTGCAGGCCACAGCAGCTCCTGTTACCTACACTCTCTCCCAGATTTGTTCAACAGCACCCTGCTATACCGCCGCTCCAGCTCTCGGCACAAACCGTACCAGCAGCTGGAGTCTTTCTGCTTGCGTTCAAGCCCATCAGAAAAAAGCCCTTTTTCTCTCCCTCAAAAGAGCCTCCCTGTCAGTCTCACTGCCAATAAGGCCACTTCTTCCATGGTCTTCCCCATGGCCTCCTCATCCACAGAACCATACCTCTCCTTGGCCGCGGCTGGGGAAAACCCTTCAGGGAAGAGCCTGGCCTCTGCTATCTCAGGGAAGATCTCATCTCCACTGTCTTCCTCCTATAAGCCCATGCTGAATAATAATTCCTTCATGCGGCCAAATAGCACGAAAGTGCCTTTATCACAGACCACAGAGGGCCTGAAGCCAGTATCCTCACCCAAGGTCCAACCCATCTCTTGGCATCATTCAGGGGGTACTGGAGACTGTGTACTGCAGCCTGTTGACCATAAGGTGCCCAAAAGCATTGGCACTTTCCTAGCTGATGCCAGTGCCCATATCGCCTTGTCTACCCCTAGCTCTGATGACACATCCGCCACCAGTGTTGCCTCTTCTTGGTATAACCGGAATAACTTAGCCATGAGGGCAGAGCCACATTCCCGTAGTCTGGATGACAGCTCTGATTCCCAGGCTCCAACTAAAGAGATTCGGTTCACTGAGGCTGTGAGAAAGTTGACCGCAAGAGGCTTTGAGAAGATGCCAAGGCAAGGCTGCCAGTTTGAACAGTCTAGTTTCCTGAACCCCAGCTTTCAGTGGAACCTCAACAGGAGCAGGCGGTGGAAATCCCCTGCGGTCAATCAGCAGTTTCCTCAGGAGGATGCTGGATCAGTCAGTGGGGTCCTCCCTGGTTCCTCGGATACCTTGGGGTTGGACAATACAGTCTTCTGTACCAAACGCATCAGCATTCACCTCCTTGCCTCACATGCCAATGGGCTCAATCACAGCCCTGCCTGTGAATCTGTAACTGACCCCCCAGCATTTGGTGAAGGCAAAGCTCCAGGTCCCCCTTCTCCTCAAACCCTTGGCATAGCCAACGTGGCCACTCGCCTCTCTTCCATCCAGCTGGGCCAGTCTGAGAAGGAGAGACCCGAGGAGGCCAGGGAGCTGGACTCATCTGGTAGGGATAGTAGGTAAGTTGGAGAATAGTAGGTAAGTTGTTTTTGCTTCATTTGGAGCAGTAGAATGGATATACCATAATTTGGGGTGGCACTGACCCTGTACCTCTGAAGGCTGGGTTTGTTTTTTAGCCCGAGGATTTTTGGTTTTCACTTTAGGGCAAGGGTTGGGAAACTATAGCTTACAGACCAAATCTTGCTTATCGCCGGCTTTTGTAAATATTATTATTGGAATGCAGCCTTGTCCACTGATTTACAGTTGTCTGTGGCTGCTTTCTTGTTACAGTGGTAGAGCTGAGTAGTTGTGACAAACCGACTGGCCTGCAAACAAAAATATGTACTCTCTGGTCCTTTAGAGAAAAGAGTTTGCCAACCCCAATTTTAAGTGAAAATGATGAGAGAATTAAGAATTATGAACACCAAGTGTTGAAGTCTGTGACTTTCCTACTTTTTCCAAACCAGGTTTTCAGTCATTCTTGGCATGACAGCTGTTTATAGTTAGGAGATACACATAGTTGGCTCCTTCTCTTATGTTTTGTTATTTTCCGGGAAACTTGATCCACTAAGGCCATTTTTTGAGTTCCCAGAGAGTGGCCTAGGGACATTTCCAGTCAATTACCAGATATCCATTCATGGTTTTTTGGGTGTAGAATTTTGTACTTATATGCTATGAGGGACATCAAAGAAAATGGAAGACATAGTGCCTTTTTGCAGAATGGAAGATGTAAGGTTGAGGAGCTATGCCTAGACCTAAGCTTTGAAGACAAGAGAAATGAGTTGTGAGGTCCAGGCAAGAGGTAGCAGATTGGTAATGGAGAAGGGACAAATACTGGGAGACGATAAAGGATTGAGAATCAAACTGTGACCTCTTTGATGGAGTTGACTAGGCTAGGGTCATGATTCTTTCTTTTAGTTCAGCTACTGACCTCCAGCCAGACCAGATTGAGACTGAAGATACAGAAGAAGAACTAGTAGATGGTTTGGAAGACTGTTGTAGCCATGATGAGAATGAAGAGGAGGAGGGTGAGTAGGGAACCCTTTTACTTCAAACTAGGCGTTGGTTATGACCTGGGTGGGCAGGGGACTAACAATTATGTACTAGGTCCTTGACTCACATTACCTACATCTTTCAATTGTTTTGGGGGTCTTAAAGGGGTAGTACCTTCTAGAGGACTTTGGTCCCTAGTCCTCCTGTCCCCATGGTCTTACCTTCTCCCTGCTTCTGTTGAGGAAGGCAGTGCAAGGCCACGGAGTGGTGCTTGTGGCTCCCCAAGAAGGGTTGAGCCTAGGATATTCAAGGAAGAGCTGTCCAGGCTTGGTGAGTTTGTGCTGCAGCCTCTTCTAGTCAGAATTCCTCTGTTCTTCCTTCCCCTAGGAGACTCAGAGTGCTCCTCATTAAGTGCAGTCTCCCGCAGCGAATCGGTGGCTGTGATCTCTCGGTAAGTGTGGCTGTATAGCTCATTGTTAGATGCTCATCTTTTGTCTCTTCAAGATTATAAAGGGATTAACCACCCAAGTCGTTAATGACCTTGAGAACTCTAATGCATTTTAACCAAATTTTTATGTTTACGACTTTAGTTTTTGAACAGGGAGTAATGGGGGGTGGCCAGAAGCACATCTCATCAGTGTGGCTTAAAAACAGTATCATGGACCACGCCTGTAATCCCAGCACTTTCAGAGGCCGAGATGGGCTGATCACCTGAGATCAGGAGTTCGAGAACAGCCTGGCCAACATGATGAAACCCTGTCTCTACTAAAAATATAAAAATTAGCAAAGTGTGGTGGTGTACGCCTGTAATCCCAGCTGCTTGGGAGACTGAGGGATGAGAATCACTTGAACCTGGGAGGCAGAGGTTGCAGTGAGCCAAGATCACACTGCTGCACTCCAGCCTCGGTGACAGAGTGAGACTCTGTCTCAAAAACAAAACAAGAACAACAACAACAAAAAGATAGTATCATGGGCTGGGCGCAGTGGCTTAATGCCTGTGACCCTAACACTTTGGGAGGCTAAGACGGGTAGATCACTTGAGGTCAGGAGTTAGAGACCAGGCTGGCCAACATGGTGAAACTCCATCTCTACTAAAAATAGAAACAATTAGCTGGGTGTGGTGGCACATGCCTGTAATCCTTGGCCTCCCAAGGATTGTGCCACCACACCCAGCCACTGCAGCTGGCCCTAATTTTTAATTAAAACCCAGCTGTAGGCCAGGCGTGGTAGCTCAGGCCTGTAATCCCAGCACTTTGGGTGGCCAAGGCAGGCCGATCACCTGAAGTCAGGAGTTCGAGACCAGCCTGACCAACATGATGAAATCCCATCTCTACTAAATACAAAAAATTAGCCAGGCATGGTGTTGCATGCCTGTAGTCCCAGTTACTTGGGAGGCTGAGGCAGAATTGCTTGAACCCAGGAGGTGGAGGTTGCTGTGAGCGCAGATTGCGCCATTGCACTCCAGCCTGGGCAACAAGGGTAAAACTCTGTCTCAAACAAAAACAAAAACCCAACAAACAAAAAACCTAGCTGTATATCATTAGGCTTGACCAACATATGGAGCTCTCAGAGTTGGGTTGCTTCTCTGTGCATCAGCCTTCCTTAGATGAAGCTAAGAAGAGAAGGAGCCTTCTCTGCCTTGTCTAGTATGGACAAGACAGGCTGCATCTTTGTGTAATGTGATGGTGTGGCAGCAGCACTGCAGTTTTAGAGCCCCTAACCCATAAGCTGTAGGCAGAGCTGTTTGGAAAGTGAGAGAGAGAACTGGGATTCTCTATGAAGGTAGATAGAAATCCCATCACAAGTACCCTGAGTCTGATGCATAAATTGTCACTTTGAGCCTAGCCCATCCTCCTTCCAGAAAAGCAAAACTACTTCAGGTTATATATGTTGGATGTTAATTAAGTACTTCCACTCTTCATAAGAGAAAGATATTTGACATGTAATTGATTTGGAGTCCTTCCTTTTCTACACTTAAGGACCTACTTCGGGACAGCTACATAAGCCCTTAAGCCTTCCTGATATATAAGATAAAAATCACAAAAGGTGTTTGTGAATCATTTGCTCATTAATTAATTAGCTTCTATAAATTGCACATAACTTCTTATCTATATGAGGCTTAAACATAATTTTCAAGAAAATGGAAATATATTTTTTCATTTTTTAGAGTCAGAGGCTTGTTCTGTTGCCCAGGCTAGAGTATAGTGGCTCCATCATAGCTTACTATAACCTCAAACTCCTGGGCTCAAGCAGTTCTCTTGCCTCAGCCTCCTGAGCAGCTGGGACTACAGGACCACCCACCACACCCAGCTAATTAAAAAAAAAATTTTATAGAATTGTGGGGGAAGGTCTCATTATATTACCCAGGCTGGTCTTGAGCTCTGGTCTCAAGTGATCCTTCTGCTTCAGCCTCCCAAAGCACTGAGATTACGGGTGTGAGCCACTGCACCTGACCAAAAATGGAGGTAGATGAATTCCAGATGACTTTGTGTTTTAAAGATGACTAAAATAAAATACTTTTGGATTGCTAAAATATTTTTTCTCTATTATGAAAGATTTGTATATTATGGAAAATTTGGTAACCACGGAAAAATCATTGGAAATGCTACCTGTTTCTTTACATACCAATTCTTTCTTTTTTTTTGAGACAGAGTCTCACTCAGTTGCCAGGCTAAAGCGCAGTGGCACGATCTTGGCTCACTGCAACCTGCAACTCCCTGGTTCAAGCCATTCTTCTGCCTCAGCCTCCTGAGTAGCTGGGATTAAAGGCATGCGCCACCACGCCGAGCTAATTTTTGTGTGTGTGTGTTTTTAGTAGAGACAGGGTTTCACCATGTTGGTCAGTCTGGTCTCAATCTCCGTTAACCTCATGATCCACCTGCCTTGGCCTCCCAAAGTGCTGGGATGGATTGCAGGCGTGAGCCACCGCACCCAGCCTACACACCAATACTTTCATTGCATTTCCTGTTGTGCTCTAAGAATCATGTAATTTTAGAGATGGAAGCCATCAAGTCCAGTGTAAATATTGAGGACCAGAGAAGTGAAGTAGCTGTTCCAAGGTTATAGTTTCTAGCATAGCTAGACTAGAAGCCAGGTCTCTTGAGAAGTTCAGGACTCTTGTGAGACAATTCACAAGGTCTTTTTTTTTTTTTTTTAAATTAAGCTTGTGATTTTGAGATAATTATAGATTTCACATGCAGTTGTAAGAAAGAATGCAGAGAAGTCCCCTGTGCTCTACTCAGTCTCCCCCACTGGTTAACATTTTGTAGAAGTACAATATAGTATGATTGAGATATTGTTAACATTGTTAGAGTCAAGATATAGAACATTTTGCCCGGCATAGTGGCTCATGCCTGTAATCCCAACACTTCGGGAGGCTAAGGGTGGATCACTGGAAATCAGGAGTTCGAGACCAGCCTGGTCAACATGGTGAAACCCTGTCTTTACTAAAAATACAAAAATTAGCTGGGTGTGATGGCAGACACCTATAATCCCAGCTACTTGGGAGGCTGAGGCAGGAGAATCACTTGAACCTGGGAGGTGGAGGTTGTAGTGAGCCAAGATCACGCCACTGCACTCCAGCCTGAATGACAAGAGCAAGACTCTGTCTCAACAAAAAAGAGAACGTTTTCATCACTGTAAGAATTTCTCCTTCTGCTACCCCTGAAGCTACACCTACTTCCCTCCTGCTCCCATCCCCTCCTTAACATCCTGGCAACCACTACTTCTCCTTTCTGTCATTTCAAGGATGTTATACAGATAGAATGACAGCAGTATGTAACCTTTTGCCATTGACGTTTTTTTCACTCAGCATATTCTTTACAGATTGACCTGGGTTGTTTTATGTATTAATAGTTCTCATTCTTTTTTATTGCTGGATAGTGTTCCAGGGTATGGATGTACCACAGTTTGTTTAACTGTACACCTGTTGAAGGATATTTGAGTTGTTTTTGGCTTTTGGCTCTTATGAATAAAGCTGCTATAAATAATCATGTACATATTTTTGTGTGAATATAAGTCTTCATTTCTCTGGGATAAATGCCCAAGAGTGCAATTGCTAGGTTGTATGGTGGTTGCATGTTTTGTTTCTTAAGAAACTGCCAAAACTGTTTTCCAGAGTAGCTATACCATTTTATGCTTCTATCTTTGTGTTTTTTTTTTTTTGTTTTTTTTTTTTTTTTTTTTTTTTTTTTTTGAGACGGAGTTCCACTCTTGTTACCCAGGCTGGAGTGCAATGGCGTGATCTCGGATCACCGCAACCTCCGCCTCCTGGGTTCAGGCAATTCTCCTGCCTCAGCCTCCTGAGCGGCTGGGATTACAGGCACGCGCCACCATGCCCAGCTAATTTTTTGTAGCTTTAGTAGAGACGGGGTTTCACCGTGTTGACCAGGATGGTCTCGATTTTTTTTTTTTTTTTTTTTAAGATAGAGTTTCGCTCTCGTTACCCAGGCTGGAGTGCAATGGCACAATCTCGGCTCACTGCAACCTCCGCCTCCTGGGTTCAGGCAATTCTCCTGCGTCAGCCTCCTGAGTAGCTGGGTCTACAGGCACGCGCCACCATGCCCAGCTGATTTTTTGTATTTTCAGTAGAGACGGGGTTTCACCATGTTGACCAGGATGGTCTCGATCTCTTGACCTCGTGATCCACCCACCTCGGCCTCCCAAAGTGCTGGGATTACAGGCGTGAGCTACCGCGCCCGGCCATATCTTTGTTTTTAAATGTTAAGTCATTCTTACTGATTTTCAGCAGTCCTAAATTTTCAAACTCAGTAAACCAAAAGCCTTTGAAGAAAAAGTTCTGAAAATGAGGAATAGAGTTGAATGAATTGGAATTTTTTCATTGGGTATTAGTATTTAACTTGGTTCAATAAAATTCCCTAAAAATCTTTAAGATTTAAAACACTGAAGTGTTTCCCATGCAGTGCCTATTTCTGTTGTGCTGAAAATAGGTCAAGTGACTTTTTTAAGCTAACAATGTTATGATAATAATATTTGTGGATCATATAATCTCAGTTGTAAAGAGTAACAGTGATTTTCTCCATTTTTCAGTGCTAGTTAAAGGAATGATCTGGGTCTGTCAGCTTGTACCTGACAGGTAGTTGATATGTTTGCCATGTTAACACCCCTTAGACAGCCTTGGCCATGCCCTTGTCGGAGTAACAGCAGGGACCCCCGTGGTCTACTGTCCCAGATCAGCCACATCTCTTCATCACATCCAGATCTGTTTCCCATACTGTTAAATAAAAAGTGTCACAAATCACTTCCAAAATGGAGAAAAGCACTAACCATCCATGAATCTTTAGATGAACCTAAATATAAAAGGAACTGGAGGTATCACTGTTTCTTTTCTTTCTGTTGCTTTTTCCCTTTTTGCTATCTAAAAGTCTCTGTACCTCAGCTCTTTTTTGGTTTTCCTCCTTCATAATTTTCACATCATTCTTTTCTCTCATTTGTTTCTTCATCTTAGCATAGCACATGCCCCTAGCATCCACCCACACTTATTTCCCCCTCTCAGAACCACTCCTTTCAGGGACTTTCCCAGCCAGTGTCTTGTCACAGGAAATTTTGGAGCCGTATTGCAGAATGAAGTATTGGAAAACCTTGTCTTTAGGTGACATTTGATGGTGTGGCTATATGTAGATTAGCTTAGCATCTTATAGATTAATATGTATAAAATAATTATTAATGATTGAGCACCTGGCTTTTTAGAATCACAAGTTAAAAGATAGCACTTGGAAAGAAATTGTATGTAATAGCAACGACGCTTGGGGCTGTTGCTTTCTCTTTCTCTACTCCATGTTTGTTTTTCCATCTTAGAAGCTGTATGGAAATTCTGACCAAACCCCTTTCCAATCATGAGAAAGTTGTCCGACCAGCCCTCGTCTACAGTCTCTTTCCCAACGTTCCCCCTACCATCTATTTTGGCACTCGGGATGAGAGAGGTAAACCTGGCCAAGTGTCAAAGCCCAGAAGAGTCCCTGGGAGAAGGATGCTAGCTAAGTTGGGAGGAGGTGGCAGAAGGCGGAAGAGAGTTTCCAGAATGGCTGTTGTGGCAGTTGTCACAATGTGCCCAGTTCCCGACCTGGTCTTAGGTCTAATGCAGCCTTTTTCTTGTCTGTCCTTTAGCTGACCCTTCTCAGCCTTGCAACGTCACGCTTAGTTCATGCTCTCCAACCTTGTTGCTTTCCCCTTTCAGTCTCCCCTTTCTTGGTTCCTCATTCCTGCACAGCCCCTCTTCTTTCCCAAAGTGTGCTCCTCTGAAACACTGATTTGGAGCAATAGTTAGTGACTTGCCTGCCAAGGGAAAAATGGGTAGCCATGCCATCTTTTTTGTCTTCTCACCATGACTCTCTGCTCCTCTCCACCCCCCATCCCCACATCCTTTGCATTCTTCCCAGTGGAGAAACTTCCCTGGGAGCAGAGGAAGTTGCTCCGATGGAAGATGAGCACAGTGACCCCCAACATTGTCAAGCAGACCATTGGACGGTCCCACTTTAAAATCAGCAAAAGTGAGTTGCTTGCCTTACTGTGAGCTTGTCCTTTTTGCCCCAAATAGATGGGCTTTGCATAGGGGGAGCGTTCCAGACACCTTGTGCCTGTGTGGGGGCAGCTGGGGCCGTCTCCTGAAATCCAACCTCAGGGGAGGGAACAGCTCTGAAATCCTTCAGGGCTGAGCCTGTTGTTGAGAATTGAGACACAGAGGGCCATTGTTCTATCCCTAGCCCCAGGGCCTCATGTAGGACAGCTCCATAGCAACTCTTTGAAAATCAAGTCTGGGAGCTCTGCCCAGTTCTGGGGCTTCTGGGCCTCTCTGTGTCCCAGGACTGAGCTGTTAGCAAGGCTGATTCCCTGCTGTACCTCCTATAGGAAACGATGACTGGCTGGGCTGCTGGGGCCACCACATGAAGTCTCCTAGTTTCCGATCCATTCGAGAGCATCAGAAGGTAGGCGCCCTTTCTGAGGAGCTGTTTCCCTGGACTTTGGACTAGGCCAAGAGGAGGGTGATGTTGTGGGTAGGGGTAGGGGGTGGGAAGAGGATGATGACCGTGGGGATGTCAGGAAGGTGTACAGAGGAGAAAGTACAGGACGGGGGTACAGTGAGAGACTCCAGTGGCTCATGAACATCTCCAGTTCAGCTGCAGTATCTTGGGCAGTTGTAGCTTCTCAAAGATGCTTTTTCCTCTGATGTGTTTTGAGTTGCATTGTCTGTTTTCTGTTTATTATGTTTCCCTATGACCACTGCACATTCCAATCCCCCAAGCTGAGTATGTGTAAAGAGGACTTCTGGTCTCATGTTGGAATGAATGAGTCCCTTGCCCCCAGACTTACTAAAGGCTAAATGCTTTCCTCTCCTCATTTCCTCATGCCATAGGCTTTCATGGAAAAAGATGTAATAGTTTTTTCTTTGCACTTAAGGTGAATAACTTGTCTGTCTTAGTCATTACTGTGTTTTGCCTGTGTTTTAATCACCTTTTGATGAGTGCTCCGCAGTTGGATACTTAAGGACCATTAGGGTAGTGATAGTAAGATGGAACAAAAGCTTGGAGGGCTGCCAAAGAAGCTGGAATGGTAGTGAGTCTTGTCATCTTCCTCATGGCCTCACCTCTGCCCTCTTCCTGCACTCACCCTTTTCCCTTTTGTAGCTAAACCATTTCCCAGGCTCTTTCCAGATTGGGAGAAAGGACCGGCTATGGCGGAACCTGTCACGCATGCAGAGCCGCTTTGGCAAAAAGGAGTTCAGTTTCTTCCCCCAGTCCTTCATCCTGCCCCAGGATGCCAAGCTCCTGCGCAAAGCGTGGGAGAGCAGCAGCCGCCAAAAGTGGATTGTGAAGCCAGTGAGTGAATCACAGTTGCCAGGAGACTATGGTCTGTGAGTGGGAACAACAGAGCATTGGACCTGGAGCAAATCTCATCTCATTTCTACTCCTAGCCAGCATCAGCCCGAGGCATTGGCATCCAGGTTATTCACAAGTGGAGTCAGCTCCCCAAGCGAAGACCCCTCCTGGTACAGAGGTGAGCCTGTAGCACATAGCCCTTAGCCCATCCTCCCACCTCCTTGGCCTCAAGGTTCCCTTTTTACAGTGTTCTTCTGCCCTTTGTTCTCCCAGCCAAAGAGCTTCCTTAGCTAACTGTTCTAAGCAGACCAGATAAAGATAAAAATAAAGACCATTCTAAGGTCTTTATCTTGGGGACCGTTAGCTAGCTTTTTCTGTGGCTTGGTTATCCACTGAGCCCCATAATCTGGCTGGATGAGAAGCTGGCCTTTGTCCTATGTAGGTATCTACACAAACCCTACCTCATCAGCGGCAGCAAGTTTGACCTACGGATCTATGTTTACGTCACTTCCTATGATCCTCTGCGGATTTACCTCTTTTCAGATGGACTGGTCCGCTTTGCCAGTTGCAAGTATGTTACAGTGGTGAGGTATCCTCTGACAATATTGGGGATTTTATTTTCCTTGGAGGGAGGAAACTAGAGGGCATCAAACAGAAAAAATAACAAATGTTTTGATAGTTTTTTGTTAGCAAGGGGGAAGGCAGGAAATGGGAAACAAGGAGGCTCTCTGCTTCATGAAATCAGGGGAGGATCTTCCTGCATGCAGGACTGAGGTGGGAAAAAGGAGATGAGTTTAGCTGTGGTTTTTCAGAACTTTGCCAATAGACAGACACACTTCTCAGGCCCTTGTGGCTATGAAGAGATCACTTGTTCTTCACCTCTTCAGGATTTGGGAAAATGTTTGGCCTCCTCTCTGTCTGCTCTGTCATCACCTTACCCCTGCCTTTTGTTTCCTTACTTCCAGGTATTCCCCTTCCATGAAGAGTCTTGGCAATAAGTTCATGCACCTGACCAACTACAGTGTCAATAAAAAGAATGCCGAGTACCAGGCCAATGCAGATGAAATGGCTTGCCAGGGCCACAAATGGTACTGAGGACAGAGTGTCCCAGTCCCGTGAAGGCCTAGAGGAGTACAGGGTTCTAGGATTTTGGGCGTTTCAGGGGCATGGTGAATGGAGGATTAATATAAGACCCAGAGATTATATAAACACTTACCAATTCAGAATTGGTCTATTTAAGGCTGGGCGTGGTGGCTTTTGCCTGTAATCCTAGCACTTTGGGAGGCCAAGGTAGGTGGATCACCTGAGGTCAGGGTTTTGAGACCAGCCTGGCCAACGTGGCGAAACCGTGTCTCTACTAAAAATAACAAAAATTAACCAGATGTGGTTGCAGGCACCTATAATCCCAGTTGCTTGGAAGGCTGAGGCAGGAGAATCACTTGAACCCGGGGAGTGGAGGTTGCAGTGAGCTGAGATCACGCCACTTCACTCCAGCCTGGGTGAAAGAGTGAAACTCTGACTCAAAACAAAAAGTTGGTCTATTTGCATTCAAGTTTATCTCTTTCATAATTGAAAGTGGCAAAGGAAGAGATAGATATAAAGAAAATACCTTTAGGTCTCTTGTTCCTTTCTCTTTGTCTTTGTCACTCATTCCTAGAATATAATTCCTAATACTTCCTCTTCCTCCATCTACAGGGCACTGAAGGCTTTGTGGAACTACCTGAGCCAGAAGGGAGTCAATAGCGATGCCATCTGGGAGAAGATAAAAGATGTTGTTGTCAAAACCATCATCTCGTGAGTCACATTGCCAACCTGGCTGTGGGGCCTGCTGCTGACCCCCCTCCTTTCTCCTGGGCCTCACACTGCTATGCTCTGGACTTTGGCCATGCTGTGGTTTGGTTTTAAGGAAAGGGAATAGGAAGGAATAGCTAGAGTTGAGTTCTCATCTACTGAACTTCATCCCCAGGAGCTGGTCCCAGATCAGATGCGTCTCTTGAGAGCTGCCTTTCCTGGGTGGCTTCTGCCTGCCTATCTCTGGGCCACTCTTTTGGCAGGAGAGCTCTTGGCAGAGTCCCCTGGGAGCTGAAATGAGTACTCCCTCATCCCCATGACCAGGTCAGAGCCCTACGTGACCAGCCTGCTCAAGATGTATGTGCGGCGGCCCTATAGCTGTCACGAACTATTTGGTTTTGACATCATGCTAGACGAAAACCTCAAGCCCTGGGTCCTGGAAGTCAACATTTCCCCAAGGTAGGTGATATTCTCAGGACACTCATGATAGAATCCTTCCATTTAGATAGAATCCTCATGCTCCCATTGCCACTCCGGTAAGTTGTTCTTTTTAATGGATCCTTACCGCTGGCTTTCCTTTAGCGGATCAAGGTCATGGGCAGGTTAACCACCCTGAGTGAGGTTATTCACTCTTCTGGGGGCAAGAGACTCTTGTGATGGTGATCCTGCACTGGGATGTTTGAGCAGCCTTCATCCTAGGGAAGCCAGGAAGTAAATGAGGCCAGCCCTGAGTTGCACATATGACCAGAGACTGTTTCGGAGTGCGGCTTTGACCACTCTTTTTATCCTTTTTCTGAAGTCTCCACTCCAGCTCTCCACTGGACATCAGCATCAAAGGCCAGATGATTCGTGACCTTCTGAACCTGGCCGGTTTTGTCCTGCCCAATGCAGAGGATGTCATTTCTAGCCCCAGCAGCTGCAGCAGCTCCACCACCAGGTTAGGCCCTTGTTTCTTCGCAGCTCCGCTGGCAGCATGAATAGCCCTGCTGTAATTTCTGGGTTCTGGGTGCTCCCTCCTGCCTGGTTCTCCTTGCTGCTCAATCTTTCCCCTATAGTCCACTCACATGCTACTTACTGCACCACACCATTGCCTCTTAAGTATGTTCAGTTATGTCGATCCCCTGCTCAGGAACCACAGGCCTAGAAATCACATTTAAACATCTTAGGCACTGTGTTGTATGTCTCTAGTCTCAGCTACTTGGGAGACTGAAGCAGGGGGGATCTCTTAAGGCCAGATGTTCAAAGCTGTAGTGCACTATGATGATCAGGCCTGGGAATAGCCACTGTACTCTATCTAGCCTGGGCAATACAGCAAGAAAAAAAAAAAAAAAACAATAACTCCTTACCAGGACAGTCAGGGTCCCAGTTTCCTTTTTCTTGGTGTATCTCTGTCTTCTTTCTCCCCTGGCTCCTGTGCCCTGACAAACTGCATCACTCATGCAACCTCAAGGTCGGAATGATCCTTAAAGATAGTTAGTCCGGTCTCCTCTCTGAAATGTTTGTTGCCTCTTGCTGTTCCCCATAGTGTTTGTTCCTTTGCTTATGGGGTTTTTTCCTCCTGAAATGCCCCACCGCCAGTCCTGCCATTAACTTTACCTGTTCATCAAAGTCTTGTTCATACATTTTCATGAAGCCAGCTCAGTATGGCCTTTTTTTCCCTCCATACCACAAAGCATTTGGAACCACTCTTGAGAGGAGGGAGTTTATATTAAGTTAGCACCTGAGATGTGTGAGGAAAACCCTGTAACTTATCCTTCCAATAACCCTGTAAAGTTAGTATTCATATCTGCAGTTTACAGAGGAGGAAACGGAAGTTCTCTGGGATTAAGTAGTCCATCAAGGTCATTCAATTAGAGAGTACTAGGACTGGAATTCAAATCTTTACTTGCCTGATAACAAAACTTGCTTTCCCCACTGTACCTTGTAGACTCATGTTTGGCTATGTCCAGCGGTTATCATTTGACATATCCCACCTGCCATACCGTAAGCTCCTTGAAGGCAGGGGTTGATTTTTAGTCATCTTTATTTTGCTATTACTAATTTTTTAGAGACGGAGTCTCACTGTGTTGCCCAGGCTGGCTTTGAACACCTGGGCTCAAGTGATCCTCACACCTCAGCCTCCCAGGTAGCTGGGATGACTAATGTGCCCCACCATGCTGGGCTCCAGTCATCTTTGTGTCTCTGTCAACAGTGATTATGGTAATTGTAGTAACGTCGGTGATGAAACTGGGATGAGGGGAGGTTGAGTCAGTTGCCCAGGGTCACACAACCAGTAGGGCAGAGCTGGGTATATAGTTAAGTGTTCAGTAAATTAAACTAAACTGAAATATATACCACAATAAGGCTTATTGCAAGGTCCTCATTTTTTATCATTCAAATTCATTCTCAAGATGGTGGTTTATACTCTTTCACTTAATATTTGATGACTCTCAGACAGGTTACTTCTGGGAAGTGCATTTTAGTCCGACCTACTGCTTAAGTAGCCTCTGTTCATACATCTTTGTCTTCCCTTGAGAAGGGTGTCTGCTGGGCTGGACCTTCTCCATATTTCCTCCAAATGCAAAGTTGCTGACCCTGCCCTTTGCTTTCTTTCCGGCCTCTGCTGTAGCCTGCCCACCTCCCCCGGGGACAAATGTCGAATGGCTCCAGAGCATTTCACTGCACAGAAGATGAAGAAAGCCTATTTTCTGACCCAGAAAATTCCTGATCAGGTAGGAGATTGGTCTTCCTCCCAATGCTAGCAGAAAACTTCCCTGGTCAAACATTTAGGACCCAAAAGCAACCAGGTTTTCTTTAGAGGAGGGTTTCTTCATTCAGGCCTGTGATCTTCTGATATGCGGAGATTTGTTGGCATAGCTGGTTGTCTTTAGCATGTTTTCTGGTCCTCTCATCCCAACTGTAGACTTTTACCATTTGGGTTTCTTTCTCTGAGAAGTACAGTGAGAGACCCCAGGAAGCTGACTTTCTCAGAGCAGATAAGGGAGCCGGATTTAAGCTTGGCAGATAGAAGACTGGTGCCAAGTCTGAATTGCTGGATCCTCATCTTGACTTTATTCAACAACTACTTAACGTCTCAGCTCCAGTGGCTCCCTCGACCCCAAACAAGAGTGTCTTCTCCCACTATCTAAGTTCAGTAGACTTAGGAACAGATGGCGTTCAGAGCTGGCCCACTAGGCTACCCTCGGGAGTTCCAGGAGCGTCCTGGAGCGGTAGGACCCCAGGGGTGTGCTCCCTGTCCCCCAGCTTCTTGATTCCCTGCCCCTGGCTTACACTCTCTGTCGCACCCTTTGCCTCTCTGTTCCTTGGACCACAGGACTTCTATGCATCTGTGCTGGATGTCCTGACACCAGATGATGTTCGGATTCTGGTTGAGATGGAAGATGAGTTTTCTCGCCGTGGTCAGTTTGAACGAATTTTTCCTTCTCATGTCTCCTCTCGTTATCTCCGCTTTTTTGAGCAGCCACGATATTTCAACATTCTCACCACCCAATGGGAACAGAAATACCATGGCAACAAGCTCAAAGGTGATGTGCCCTCCCTGCCCTCAGAAAGCCATGTTTAGTGAGGGATTAAATCCCAATATACCAAGAAATGGGCCTCTTTGGAAAGAAGAATTGGCCAATTGATTCTACCTTCTTAAGCCCCAACTCCTGCTAATCTTGTCCTAGGAGTAGATCTGCTCCGGAGTTGGTGCTACAAAGGGTTCCACATGGGAGTTGTCTCTGATTCTGCTCCAGTGGTGAGTGCTGCCAGTGTCGAGGACAGCTCCTTCTCAGGCCCCTCCCTCCTCTGCCTTACGAGTGCAGCAGGAGTTGGCTTGTATGTACAGGCCTCTCTCACTTCTCTGCCAGGCTCTGCCTCTGTCTCACCACTCTTTCCTTTCAAGGGAATAGTTGCCTCCAGGATTCCTTGGGTACCTTTCTTTCAAGGATTAAAAAGTGCTTTGTCGGCCTCAGCTTGTCTGATTCAGAAGAGAACTGAGACTTTTACCCACCTGGGCCCATGTCTGAGGGGTAGGGAAGAGGAGAGCCCCTTAGATCACTTAGAGGGTCCCAAGACCCCAAACACTTCTGCCTTGCGTCCACCAAGCCCTTTTGGTCTCATTGCTTCCTTTGCTCTTAGTGGTCTCTCCCGACATCACTTCCAAGTGTCTCAAAGGATGACGTGATACTCAATGCCTTCAGCAAATCAGAGACTAGCAAGCTGGGGTGAGTGCTGCCCGAGCAAGGGAAGGGCTGCTGGCTGTGAGTTTGGAGAGTTTTCTTCCTTCCTCTCTTCCCAGACTGTGGCAGTGAAATCAGCATTCTCCAGCTGGGGGTTGGTGGGAGTGTCAGGACATTCGTCCTTTTTTCTGGTAGCTCTTGGGATGCCCAGTGAAGCTGAGCTGGAGGAGAGAAGCGCCTCTGGAAGCGGCCATTGTCAGCCATACCCACTTGCTGTGGGAAGTCGCTAGCCCTCTACCCGCACCCCCATTTACTCAAGTAAATAGAATGTTTCGCGTGGTTATTACATATCCATGTAATTATGGCCTCTGACACCATAATGTGAATGCCTGCTCCATACTCTGAAGCAAATCCTAAGGTAAAGTCTCAGTTAAACAATGTCTCAGCCATTTCTTTCCCCACCTGTTCCCTCCAGAAAACACAGCTCCTGCAAAGGAAGTCTGCTACTCACTGAAGATGGGACCACACCCAAGTCCAAGAAGACCCAAGCTGGCCTTTCCCTTTATCCCCAGAAACCAAGTTCCTCAAAGGACAGTGAGGACACCAGCAAAGAGCCCAGCCTTTCCACCCAGGCGTTACCTGTGATCAACTACTCTGGGCGGACTTCAAGACTTGCTGCTTCTTCCACTTTCCAGTCAGGCAGTGACTCCCTCCTGGCTGTGAGCCCATAATTGGCCTCTCTCCACAAGCCTCTGCCCAGGAATATGGGCATCAGCTACCTCACAGGAACCGGCCTGCTGACCAGCCTGAACCCCTTCCCGCTTCACCCTGTCCCTCTCAGAGTATTTTTTGAAGTGATTGCATTATAGAGATGAGTATGTGTAGGACCAGAGGGATGGTGGTGATGGGGAGAAGGTGAGGAAGGGCCACCCTCTGTCACCTGTCTGCCTGGCTGGCACCTCCTATCTCAGCAGAGAAGCCAGTGATGGCCACGCAGCCTTATAAAGCAGGTTTTGGTTTCTACCTTAAGTGAGCCATGTGGTTTGTTTGGGGCCTTGGTGCAGTTGCTGAGTTGTAGCTCAAGAGGAGAAAACATAGAGAACATGTATGGGCCAGAAGTCCTTTGTTCTGAATTGGAGGGGGCCTTCTGAGGCCCTCATTTCCTTAGATCTTCCCTCCCCCTCTCCCACCCCCTGTCCCGAGGAGAAAGCGTCGACCTTCCGCAGTGGACAGGCAAAGAGGCCGCAGCGTGCTGAACCCATTTCCTGTCACCTCGGTCTTGGATCCTAGCCACCCAAGACTAGGATCTTGGCCTACAAAGGCCCAAGATGCCTATTCGAAGGCATCTTCACCGCCTCCTTCCAAATACTCACCTTGCCAGCAGCCCTAGGTCTTCCTGTTCTGACCCCCCATCACTGCTCGTTCAGCCTTCTGACGTCTCTCGTGGACAGCTCCTCCTTAGCTGTGATGTGTAAGAGGGTCTGTGACCTTTGTGAGTTTCCCATGGCCCCAGTGAAGGAGCCCAGATAATCCCAGTAGCTGTTATCTGTCTCCATGTATTAAAGGACAGTCCAGGGAGAGGGCGGAAGGGGATGAGGTTTCTCTACAATCCAACAAACGTGGTTTCTCATGTTCTGCCCTACAGCAAGCAGGGTCTGGTGGCTTGGCAGGTGGGTTTCAGGAGCAGTCACTATTGTGGGATGGGCTTCCAATGAGACTTCAGACTAAACTCTTGTACTCAACTGATTCTACCTCCCTCCTGTAGACTCAGTAAACAGTGAATATTCAGTAAATGTTGACTGAGTGAACTGTATTTACAGAGATCTCAAAGGACCCCCAGCACTTGAACCAGAAGTTCTACTTCTCTCTCATCTGGGGATGAGAAAGTGGAGCCTTGGGGCAGAACAGGTGGAAGAGTTTGAATCAGAAAGGTTTTCTCTGGAGCTGTGCTCCTTCCTAACCCAGCACTTCCTGGTTGCTGCTTGCCTCCACCCCAGCCCCTGCAGTCCCTTTTCTTAGTTTTTTCCAGCAGTGGCACATATAAGAAGCCAAATGGTCCCATGTCCCTGCTACTCAGGTTTTCTTTTTGCATATCAGGCAGAAAGCTCAGCTACTTGGTCTCACCCTGTACCGGAGCTGCCCTTGTTCTCTCTGAGCTTTGGAAAGATAGAGACTCCCGTGTTTCATGGCTCTGGGAGCTCTGTGGCAAGTTGGGGTGGAGTCTTGGAAAGATCACTGAGAGGCCTGACTGGGTTCAAGGCCACAGAGTAGGTGGTGTCTGGCCAGTCCTAAGGCCATGTTGACAGTTGTGAAGAAAGTTTGGTGGCAAAGTCCTGGGCATCATTGTCTGCTCTATAATGACTTTAAAGTCGGGCCATAATGGGAGAGGTCCTTGATAGTCGTCCTATTGGATCTTTTCTGATGTAATTGAAGCGGCCCAGCTCTTCAGTCCTCTGGCTGCAGTATTCTAGTGCAGATATGACACAGGGCATCTGCTGCCTTCCTAAGAGAAAATGAGCCACCTGCCTGGCAGCTTTGTTGTGGCTGGGCCTTCTCCACAAGGACTTAGGCATGGAGGCCTGTTTGAGCTGGTTTACTCCATGAAAACCAACTTCTTTGGCTTGCCCTCTGAGAATCTTGTACAACATAGCCAATCTATTTCCATTCCCGTAACTGGAGAGGGAACCAGTTGCTGAATGAGGGTATTGGGGAAAGTTTGGTGGGGGAAGGGAGAAGGACTTAGGAAATGAAGTCCTTATGATCAATGAAAGTCCTAAATGTGCAATGGAAAGACAGTGCTCTTAGTAGTTTAAAACATGTTTGTACATCAATAAATTGTCATCACATTTGAGTATCTGATAGATGTGGGGGTTTTGCTGGGTAGGAGAAAGGAATGGGGCTTACTGTATCACATTTACCTTTCATTCTTTTTTATATAGAGACGGGGTTTCACCTTGTTAGCCAGGATGGTCTTGATCTCCTGACCTCGTGATCCGCCCACCTCTGTCTCCCAAAGTGCTGGAATTACAGGCGTGAGCCACCGTGCCTGGCCACCTTTCACTCTTGAGAGAAAATTAAATCTTATTAAGCATTCGGCATATGTACGTTTGCATTGAATACCCGCCATTGTGAGGTATTCAGCTAGGTAGGCGTTTTCGAGAAGGAATGAGATTTTTTTGGAAAGCTAAATTTGGGAGTATAGTAGAATAAATGTTTGTCAGAGCATGTCAGTTGCTTTCCTAAGTTGATAACTTACCTACTCTATTTGGAGGAAGGGAAGCAAGTGTCCTGAGACAAGGAATGAAGTGCAGGATATTTCTAGAGTAGTAGAGTGAGTAAGGTCTTGGGGTGGAAAGTGGAGGAGGGCAGTCACTGCTGACTTCACATCCACTTAAGAATGCTGAAAAACTCAGTTGCTTAGAACAAATACACAAATTGTGTCAGGAAGGATAGGAACCTTGAATCAGGCTGACCTTGGGTTTAAATCCCAGTTCTACCACTTACTGTGTGACCTTGGGTGTGTCATCTAACTTTTAAGTCTCCATTTCTTTGTAGTGTGAATATAATACCAACATTGCAGGGTTGTGAAGGTTTAAACCAAATGTAGTAAAAGTACTTAGGACATAGAGGGCCCTTTGCAAGGTCACACCTTCCTCCACTTGCTGTCCAAGCCTTGAGCCCTCGGTGGGAAGAGACAGGCAAGAAATATAAAACCCTTTCCTCCAGGAAGTGGAGCTGCCATTGAGATGTTTTAGAAGTGAAGAAGCCAGAACAGAGTCTAGATAGCTCATGGCCCTCACCATCACCCCAGTGCACACACAAACATCATCATTATTCAGCCTCCTATTACATTATTACTCTACTGGGGATTTATTTCTTTGGCTAAACACTTCACAGGCAGAGCACAGATCCCTGAGAAAGAAAGCACAGTAAGCGTTAGAAGTATGTGAACTGAGTGAGATTATTAAATTATTTCAACAGCAGCTTTGATAAGAAAGGGAGAGCAAGCACAGTGGGTGTCAGGTGTCTGGACAGGGGAGGAGCAGGGTACAGAAAGTAAGAGACCCTGATTGGAACTGGAGCCAAAGAGGAAATACATAGACCTAACAGCTGTACCAAGGGGCAGTTGTCATTACAGGTACATTTTCTTGGTGTCATGCTGTTTGGCTGAGGGTGACTATCACCCCCATCCCCCCAGTCAAAGGACATACCTGATGGCTTCTGGGACAATCCAGCACTGCTGAGGGCCAGTGAAGGAGACTGATCATCTGGATACAAAGACCTTTCTACTTCCTCCTCAGCTGAATTAGTTACCCAAGATAGGTGACCAACAAAGGCAGCCAGGGGATCTCCTCTCCTGGCCTCCCCTTGATTTGTAAGATTAAGGCCTACCTCTGATTGCTGTTCAGATCCCCCAACTGCTTTGAGACTTGGCAACACTGATGGTTTTCAGATGGCTAAGGGAGCTCCATTTCATGCCACCTGAGATTATAACCAAGCCTTTTCCAACCTTTCTTGGCCTTTTAGAGTCCCCCTGTAGCAGAGTTTGCACACTGATTAATATCCAGGTATCTATACCATCTCATTTGGCTTGCCCCTTCACTAAATTTGGATCAGTGAAAGTTGCAAACAGTCATATGTTGCTCTTGGCAGATGTTTCACAGGTGAAAGAACACAAGGAGGGTCAATAGCAGGTGGTGGTTTTCTAGAACCCATCTGTGTCGTAATTACAACAGACGGAGATACATGGAATGCCAGGGACTGCCACAGGCAAAGCTAACAAAATTTTGAGAAGATATTTAAGTTTCAATTAGTAAACTGGGGACACCAAAGCCTACCTCATAGAATGGGGTTTCATATGGGACTAGAATATGGGGGGAAAGCACCTAACAAGGTGCCTGATAATGTATGATACAGATTTAAAATAGTGGATTCTAAAACTGACCAGAACTACCACAAAAAGCATTTAAAGTAAAAGTACTTTAACATGCAACAGTATTACAATACGATTACAATAGCATGTTAATATTACAAAACTATGGTAAAATATACTTTGATTTTGTCCATGAATTAAAGCTGAGGATGTATTGAGATAATTAGCTTAGATAGATTAAAGCCCGTATCATTAGTAGTCAGAGAAGAGCAATTTCAACTGCAAGATGCCACTTAACACTAAAGTGGCTCAGATTTAAGACTGAAAATGCCAAGTGTCAGTATGATACTGAGATACTGTGAAGCCGCTGATGGGAATGCCAAATGGTGCACTGGAAAGCAGCTTGGTAGTTTCTTATAAAGTGAAACATGTCGTTAACATACGACCTAGCACTTCCACTCTGGCAGGCAAATGTTCATAGTAGCTTATTCATAGTAGCCAAAGCTTAGAAACAACTGTATGTCCAAGAATTAGTGAATTAACGAATTGTGGTATCTCTGTTCAATGGAATGCTCTTAGATATGAAAAAGGAAAAGAGTTCGGGTGCTGTGGCTCACACCTGTAATCCCAGCACTTTGCGAAGCCAAGGCAGGAGGATCACTTGAGCCCAGGAGTTCAAGACCAGCCTGGGCCAACACACTAGGACCCTGTTTCTACAAAACAAATAAATACAAATAAAAAAGGAATGAATTGATTCATGTAACACCATGCATGAATCTAAGCATATTCCTAAACAAGAAGAAGCCAGAAACAGAAGACATGCTTTATTATTCCATAATCTAGAAAATGCAAACTATAGTCACAGAAAGCAGGTGAGTGCTTCCATGGACTATAGATGAGGAAGGGGTAGACTGTAAAGGGCACGGTGGGAAGATTCTGTGTCTTGATTGTGGTGGTGGACACATGACTATATACAGTTGCTGGAACTCATCAAATTGTGCACTTAGAATGGGGGAGTAGTATTGTACGTAAGTAAATAAAGCTGATTTAAAAAGACCAGGAGATGCCATTTCATGAGGTATGTGCTAATTAAAACCACAATGAGATAACAATAGAATAGTTAAAAGGGCAGCCAAGACCAAGTGTTGGTGAGAATATACAGCAGTTGGGCCTTTTATACATGGCTGGCACGAGTGTAAAATGGTTCAACCACCGCAGAACACTAACAGTTTCTTAGAAAGCTAACATGTATCTACCGATGACTCAGAAATTCCACTCCTTGGTACTCTCTTAAAAAGGTGGAGAAAAAGGAAATCGCATGTTTACCAAAAATGTTTATTGAGGCTTCATTCATAAAAAAAAATGAGAATAATCCAAATGTTTCTCAATACGAGATCAGATAAACTGGTGTGGAATACCACCCAATAAAAAGGAACATCCAGCAATACGTTAGAAGGAAGAAAAGAAAAAAAGGAACAAACTAATGTATGATCTCAAAAGCATTGAGTGAAAGAAGCCAGACACAAAAAGAATACATACTGTGTAATTAAGTTGATATGATGCTTAGGAACATGAAACTAACCTATGGGAACAAGTCAGAACAATAATTGCCTCTGGGCATTAGTAGTATAGTAAGAAAAGAGGCACAAGGCAACTTTTGGAGGTGATGGAAGTGCTCTGATTCTTGCGATGGATTTGTAGGAGCTCAAGGAATTGCACATTTAAGCCCCAAATTAAGTTGCTGACAGGGCTGGTTCCTTCTGAGGGCTGTGAGAGAATCTGTTCCAGGCTCCTCTCTAAGCTTCAGGTTGGTTGCCGGCAGTCTTCTCTGTTCCTTGGCTTGTACAAACATCACCCAGTCTCTGCCTTCGTGTTCACATGGCGTTCTCCATGTGTATATTTCTACAATTTTTCCTTTTTATAAGGGCACTAGTCACATTGAAATAGGAGCCCACTCTACTCTAGTATGACCGCACCTTTACTAATTATATCTACAATGACCTTATTCCCAAATAATGTCACATTCTGAGGTGTTGGGGGTCAGCACTTAAGCATATGAATTTATGGGAGAAGGGGTGGGGCACCACAGATTATAGTTCCTATAGTGGAGTTCCCAGCTTGGATCAACTACTAATAACACTATGGCAGCCGGGCACAGTGGCTCACGCCTGTAATTCCAGCACTTTGGGAGGCTGAGGGGGGTTGATCACCTGAGATCAGGAGTTGGAGACCAGCCTGGCCAACATGGTGAAACCCTGTTTCTACTAAAAATACAAAAATTAGTTGGTCATGGTGGTGGGCACCTATAATCCCAGCTACTCAGGAGACTGAGTAAGGAAAATCGCTTGAACATGGGAGATGGAGGTTGCAGTGAGCCAAGACCATACCGTTGCACTCCAGCCTGGACAACAAGAGCAAAACTGTCTCAGAATAAATAAAAACTAATGCTATGGTGGTGGCATTATCAGTCTTGTGTGCAGCCCTCTGGATTAATCATGATAACTGTTGGAATGCCTGGTATGTTTAGAACTGGAAAGACTGTTCAGTTGACATCCCAAGTCTGGATGCTCTTTGGCAGAGGAAAATAAATTTTAAGACACATCCCTCTTGTTGAGAAACTGACTCAAAGTCAGTATTCAAGAGCTTGGTAAGTGCCAGATATCTCAACGATAATGCCTGAGATATATCACTAAGTCCACTTGCCTCTACCAGAAGATTAAAGGCCCAAATCCCTGGAGATAAAGTAACTTTTTTCTAAGTCCATCTCTTTCCTAGACAAATGACCTTTCTAATGAGCTGTGATTAACACATCAGAATCTTTGGCACTAAGAATTTCTCATCATGGGCTGGGCATGGTGGCTCACACCTGTAATCCCAACTCCTGGGAGACAAAAATGGATCACTTGAGGCCAGGAATTTGAAACCGGCCTGGGTAACATAGTGAGACCCTGTATCTATAAAAAAATTTAAAAAATTAG